TATATATATATATATATGTATATATGGGCTATAAGATGTTATTCCCAATCTCCAAACACCGTGTCCACACCAGACGCGACGCGAAATAGAAATAGACGTTTATAATCTAATTCAGAAATATTAAACCTTTTAACATTATTAAAAGTACCTACTGAGTGACGGAAACGATCTTTGTCATAATAACAGGTGTTGGTTTGCAGTTTTAACGTTTGCTTATTTTTTTAAATATTATATCTGAAGTAAACCATCTGTTGTTGCTTTCAGTATGTCTATAAATGTCACGCAATATGATATTCAAACTCACATTAGACACATTTAACATTGAATAAAACACATAGCCTGAGATTATCATTGTCACAGGTTGTGTGTTGTTGTTCCAGCCGCAAAATGTTTGATATATATATATATATAAGTATACATATAATAAGAGCAAGGAGGGAAAAAAACACATTTTTTATTACTGCTATAAAATTCAGTATAGCTTTCAGCATCATATAACACACTGTATTTTTACCGTGTTCACATGAAATAAAACCAATCAAATATATTTAGGCCTTAATTAAATTACATGTAAACATATTTACAAATATTTATATTTATATTAAACATACTGATAAAAAAATGTATAGCCTGAATGCACGGATAAAAGCGTCTGCTAAATGCATACATTTAATTTAATTTGTAATTTATTTACAAAATATTTAATAAGCGCAAAACATATTTTCACGTTTTTATTATTGCTGTAAAGCTTTCAATATAGTGCATTTTTCTTCCATGCTGATATGTAACACAATATATGTTTACTGTGTTGACATCAAATCAAACGTACGCTGTAAAAAGCTTTCGCGTCCAATCAGCGTTTAGCTGTCGTGTCCATGGGGTGAAAGGTGACTACGGCGAGCTGAAGCGCTCAGAAAGAGCGGCGCTGAGTAAACAGTTCATTTGTGTCCGAAGAAATAATACGAGTATTCAAGCGTCATCTGTGCTTTATAGCAGGCGAGTAAATGTTATATTAGTCTAAGCTGTATTAAGAGGGAGGCAGAAAAGCGTTCAGGTGTCTGTGTAACGGGCAACGTCTACAAATGCTGTTTTTGCTCTTCCTGGAGTGTTCAGTGTTCATATCCATCTCTGTATTCTTCCACATGCTGAGCGTTGCTTGTATTTCATTTCTGATAGTAATGATGTTATTTGACTGCAGTCATTTTTCAAGTTCTTCCTTATGTCAGCCACATTTCTCATTAATGTCAGATTTGTAGATATCGTGTTTTTTATTATTATAGATATGTTGTATAATCTATTCAGTGCGATTCTCAAAGTGTGTGTGTGTGTGTGTGTGTGTGTGTGTGTGTGTGTGTTTTTAAGTGGGAGAACTTGCACAATTGGTGGCTGACTAAATACTTTTTTGCCCCACTGTATATAATGTTTTAAATATTTTAAAATTGGGTATTTCCTGCTGTAAATATTATGGCAAAATAGAAATATTAATGGTGCTATATTTTTGCACCTCACTGGGTATATAATGTCTTTCTGTATGTATATAAAGGCTGTTGGCAGATTTTCCTATAGATACCTGGTAGAATCACCACTTCTATTGAAAAGTTGGCATGAAAAGAAAATTCACCATATCTACTTTCTAAATGCATATTATAGATCTTGGTGTGAACAATTTATCCATGCATATGTTGTTTTTTTTTTACCTGATTTTTTGGACCTTCCACTGAAAACAACAGAAACATTTCTCCAGTCATTTAGTCTTAATAAACCCACCTCTGCAGGTTCATCTGACCCACATCTCCACATCCAACCATAACACCGTTGGACAGAACCAAGTCCCTGCCCTACATAATTTCTTTCATTAATCTGATCCATTTGGATGTTTGTCACAATACAAAAGAAAAGATCTGTCATTACTTGGGTCACAGTCACAGTTCACAGTTCTGTAGTTCACAGTAAGGTCACAGTTATTGACTGATGCCGATCATCTCAAAGTGCCTAATCCACCTGTCTGTAATTGAACCTTTCTTCTGTTCTGTTGTAGCCACATCATGGAGCATTTAGAAGGGGTGATTGAACAGCCAGAGTCGGACATGACGCCTCTTAATAAACCCGCCTCTGCAGGTTCATCTGACCCACATCTCCACATCCAACCATAACACCGTTGGACAGAACCAAGTCCCTGCCCTACATAATTTCTTTCATTAATCTGATCCATTTGGATGTTTGTCACAATACAAAAGAAAAGATCTGTCACTACTTGGGTCACAGTTCACAGTAAGGTCACAGTTATTGACTGATGCCGATCATCTCAAAGTGCCTAATCCACCTGTCTGTAATTGAACCTTTCTTCTGTTCTGTTGTAGCCACATCATGGAGCATTTAGAAGGGGTGATTGAACAGCCAGAGTCGGACATGACGCCTCAAGAGCTGCAGCTTCACTATTTCAAGATGCACGACTACGATGGCAACAATCTGCTGGATGGACTCGAGCTCGCCACTGCCATTACTCATGTTCATAGAGAGGTGAGTGCTCGAATTCTGAGCTTGACTTTATACCAGTTTAAAGTTTGAACATACCTACCCATTCTTTATTAATCATTTTATTGTTTTAATAATTTATTTATAATAATTTGATAATAGATAATTTTTTTATTTTATATGAGATTTAATATCTAATTTAATTAGAATTTGAGCTGGATTTTATAATCTAACCCCAAGTACACTTGTCCAAGCCTCTCTTTCTATCATTTGTCTTTTTTTTTTTTTATTATTCCATTTGATTAAAATTAAGATTGTCACCTGGTTTCCAGGAAGGAGGAGATGATAGCCAGCCAATGAAAGAAGAGGATCTCATCAACCTCATTGATGACGTCCTCCGAGACGATGACAAAAACAATGATGGCTACATCGACTACGCAGAGTTTGCCAGGTCTCTGGAGTGAAAGACGAGAGGAAGCGCCGCTGCCTTACTGTGAGATAATAAATAGATAATTTTTTTATTTTATATGAGATATTTAATATCTAATTTAATTTGAATTTGAGCTGGATTTTATAATCTAACCCCAAGTACACTTGTCCAAGCCTCTCCTTCTATCATTTGTCTTTTTTTTTTATTTTTTATTCCATTTGATTAAAATTAAGATTGTCACCTGGTTTCCAGGAAGGAGGAGATGATAGCCAGCCAATGAAAGAAGAGGATCTCATCAACCTCATTGATGACGTCCTCCGAGACGATGACAAAAACAATGATGGCTACATCGACTACGCAGAGTTTGCCAGGTCTCTGGAGTGAAAGACGAGAGGAAGCGCCGCTGCCTTACTGTGAATGCAGATTACCTCTGATGTACAAATCTCCAGCACATTCCTTCACGTGCGTGCGATTTCACAGGCGCAGTATATTCATGCTTCAATATAACCTGTATAAATGTCAGACAATGAAGTGGGTGAGGGTCATGAAGTGACGTGAGATGTTTTGTACGTATGCCATCAGTGTAACATGTATTCATTGTTGCACTCACATCTGCATATGTCTTGTCACAATGGACCTTAATGTATAAACTGCCAAATTTATCCACTGTAAACAAGCATAAATTGTTATTATTGAATAAATCCTTCGCAGTGACACTCTCCTGCAAAGCTGATTGTTAAATGAAGCTAAAGTGGAATATAATAATTGCTGCTCTGCTCATGAATGATGGCAAACATATGCTCCTTCTGCCTTAAAGGGATTATCACTGTTACTGTCATTATAAAAATACTCATTCAAAATGTTTTGAAATGACAGAATACTTTATTGGTGAGCACACACTTTATTGGTTTATCTTGATTTACATATAAATGTGCAATACGGGTGTTTGGAGATGTACATCTTAATGAATCCCTCTGTAGCCCTAATGTTGATTTGGATGATGTTATAAACAAGTGCCAGAATATTAGAAATATATTTGATGGTGTTATGCATTTCTAAAACAGGAATAGGAATTGGATCCTCCGAAACATCATGGTGCATTGATTTTTAGCTTGCTATTAGAGCCTGAATGTACACAAAATGTCATATAGGTCAATGACATGACGCTCATTTTGTCTGAATTTATTAATTTATTAGGAGATTTTAAATGTAATGTATCCATATAGTGACCTTAATACATTTCTCTTTCATGATGTTTTTAATTTTTAAATAAAACAAGACATTTTTTTAGGGCATAATTTTAAAATATATTAAACTAGAAAAGTTATTTTAAACTAATAATATTTCTCAATAAATGAGACCTCTTTAAAAAAAACATCGAAAAATCCTAATAATTCCAAACTTTCATCATGATGTTTTTATTTTAGTTTTCATTTTATTAAATTTTTTAGGGTATAAAGCAAAAAAAAAA